CTCTCTTCAGACATAACAAATTTACTGTTATTAGAACAGTTTAGTGTATGCAGTTACTTATGAAAAGCATATGAAGTACACGGCGAACATGCCAGCTGCTTTTTTATAGCGTGTCGTATACTTTGTAAAACAAGTCTATATTGCCTGCCAGAGACCGGAGTCATTCTGGTTACATGCCCAAGGAAAGGAGAGATTGAAAAGTTCTCGGGCTTCGAAAAATTTGAAATATGTATTTATTATTAATGATTACTGAGCACTTTACTATCTCCATTTTAAAAACTAACTCGTGTTGACTTTCAAGCAATTTAATATTAAATTTTATGACTACGATTGCTTCACTACCTTGTAGCTTCATCAATTGGAAAAAAACATAAACGGGTGTAGGTAGTGTTGAATGTTTATACATATAGAGTAAAAATGATAAAGGGTTGGGATTTCTGAATTTGAGTTTTTTAATCGATAAGCGTTGTACTGTTCCTTTATTCTCTAATCGAGCGATTTTCTCATTTGCCCGATGTACACATTGTTGCAGCCTTCACACTTTGACTTTTACATATCAAATTTTTCCTTTCTATCTTTTTTTAATTGATAATCTTCTTATCCTAGAGTCGCCAGTTTTTTAAGTTGCCAGGCTTTTGTTATGTTTTTCAAAGTCTCTTACATTTATGGAGTTGATAGCTATAAATGTGTTAAGCTAATTTTAAATTTGTCTTGTTTTTTAGTGAGGTATATAAAATTCAAGATGCGTTTTTAATTTGTTATTTAGGAGGACCTTTTTATATCCGTCCTTTTTAGCAAATATTTAAATTCGAATTAATTCTTTATCATTAGAATGCTGAACGTTAATTAATCTGGGAAATGATTTGGCAAGAACTGTCTTCTTCTTAGCATTCTGTAATGTTTATGCTAAATTGGCAAGTGGTGTTTGTTATTTCTTCTAATAATAGTAAGATCTAAAAAATTCGATTGAGTTTGTTTACTTCCTTTTCGATTGTAAATTGAATTGGATGTAAGCTATTTAAAAAAATTAAAAAAAAAACTCCAATGTTCTTTTTGTAAGATTAAAANATTGCTGTATAATTGAAAAGAGTCAAATAGGCGCCAAAAATCAATATTATCTCAAAATACATAGATATATATAAAATCATCCCTTCGAAGGCTTCGCTGGTAGATATGTAGTTACTTTTCCTTCTTCAGATTTTCGTTAAAGAAGAGTGGAAGGATCATATTACATTCTTTCACGAAATCCAGCTGGCTAAAAGTCGTTCAGAGGATTTTGTTGGAGTTTTTATGGAAAGCTCGTATTCCAAAGAAACGTGATATTGTATTTCATGAGCACATATGAAATTAACAGTAATTTCCTTTTTCTTCTCTTCGAGAACGTATCGGTTTCCTTTTTTTTGCATAGCTGATCCTTTATTATCCACACGTAGGCATACGCTATTTGAAAATCAAACACGGGTACATTAATGGAATAAAGAACTTTATAAAAAAAAATAAAAGCAAAACATTCACACCGTTTCATGTAGAATTGGGGTTACAGACTTATATAAAGTAGACATAGAATACCCGTTTATTCTTTTGTATTGAATTTTTCGTTAGAAATGTATCAAAATTATTAGATGTTTCGATAAATCATTGACAAACTCAACCCCATTCATTCAAACTGACGATGATTAAAATAATGTAAAGGCATTTTGATGCTTTCGACCACGAAATGCATGATGAGTATTGATTGCATACACTACAAAAACACTGACTGTTAACCATTTAATCGATGACAGCTAAACGATCAATAAGGTTCTCAGTCCTAAGACTGGTTGGACACATACCTCCACTCTTTCTTGACCTAAGCTAATCTTCGCATTTCCCTTAAATTAGAACAATCCACAACCTTAACTTTTGGCGAACAGTAATCTAATATAGGTCTACCTCTACCCCTCCTAACTCCTGTTTGTGCCTCTAATATGCCTCTGACTAGACCTTCACGCCTGAGAAGGTGTCCTACTAACCTATCTCGCCTATTTCTTATTGACTTCCATAGAGTTCTTTGTTCACCTATTCTTTTTAATACCTCTTCATTTCTAACCTTCTCTATACACAGTATTCTCATCATTCGCCTATAACTCCACATTTCAAACGCTTCTAACCTTTTCTTTTCCGCCACGCCTACTGTCCATGTTACGCATCCGTACAGCGCCGCGTTCGAAACATACACCTTTAACAACCTTTTTCGAATTTCTAAATTAACCATTCGTGAGCATAGAAGTGACTTTTTTTTATTAAAGGCGACTCGATCCTGCGCTATCCTCTGCTTTATATCCCTATTACCCCTTCCGTCCTGACTTATCTGACTTCCTAGATATCTAAAATCAGACACTTCTTCTAATTTTTCGTTTTCTGTCTTTATATTCGCTATTTCCCTACATTTTCTTCCTTTGCATACCAGTGTTTTTGTTTTACTTTTATTTATTTTCATACAGTACTCTTTTGTCAGTACCGTTTCCGTTTTATTTAAAGCTATCTCTAACTCCTCCTTGCTAAATGCTAATACTGCTGTATCATCTGCATATTTAAGCATACTAATATTTTGCCCCTGTATATCTATCCCTATAGTTGAATTGTCTTTAATGATGTTAATCGCGTCTTCGATGTATAGATTTGTGCATCCCTGTCTGACTCCCTTCCTAATATTTACTTCTCGACTGCTAATTGTAATATTTCATAGCTTTTGATATGACTTTACAAAGGTATCAACTAGAGCCAGTGGTCGACAAGCTGTTAAATTGGATGAGCTATTCGCAACAAAAGTATTGTTTCATGAATTTTAATTCGGCTTTACATTTTATTTCAAATATGTATCGAATAGAGAAGTGATAATTAAATAAAATACGTTTTTATTCATTATTATTTATAGTATTACTATGTTACAAAATATAGCCTTATACTAAACAAGACTGAAATTATATTATCGTAAAAAGTCAATGAGAACGGCGACTTAGGAAGTTTCGTAAGTCCGGAACATAACTAGTAGTTTTTAGTTTAAGTTTGACTCTAAATTTTGATTAGATATTTGACTTCTTAGCATGTTCTTTATTAAGTTCATAGGAGGGAATCCTTCCTCGCACAAATATGTTAAAGAGCCGCAATTATATTCGTTTGCAAGACAATGTCGAACACTAAGAAATATTAATATACAAATTAATTTTCAATTTTCTTTTGCTGTTAATATAATTTATGTATATCAAGAGGTTCGTGAACAGTTACGCTGATGATTCTAATAAGAGAAAGGAATTAGTAACATTTGCTTCGACAATTTTTGTATCACATGCCTTCGTTTTGTCGTAGTCTCGTTCGCTTTTAATGAATAGGGCGGCATGAGTAATTATTTTCACAATACGCTGCTTGTGAAGTGTTCACGCAAAAAAAGCCGTCTGATGGGTATGAATTGAAAAATAGACACAAAGGATCTCATGTAGACTTTCGTTTTTACATGGTGCTCTTTTGTTAAAAAGCAGCTCCTATCGGTAGACCGAAAAAGTTTTTGTTTCCATTATTCTTAAAGGCAAACAAATATTTAGTTCATAATTTTCAAATTTTTTGTCTAACTATAAACATTTCAACTGCATAAATTGACTGTCGTATAAGAAGGTTACAATGAAAGCATCAGAATTATGGATTAAAGAAAATGTTAAAGTTATATATCGTATAAACAATTCAATTAATAGAATACGAATGATATTAATGATAGGATAAGCATACATAATGCTTTCGGAGGCCGTAACTGCATATTGCTTTTATTTACTTATACTTTTCAGACATGGAAGGCTAACTTAATTTCGTAAACCGTATCGACTCGTAGATTTTTTTTGAGGAAAGCATCCTCAGGGATGTATTTATAAAATATAGTACGTACAAAAGATACATCATCATCATAAGTCAGTCAGCCTTAAGAGTCGTTGTTGAACACGCACCTTCACTCTTTCCTATCCTGAGGTAATCTTTGCATTTTCCTAAACCTACAACAACCCACATTCTTAACTATTTGCGAACAGTAATCTAATCTAGGTCTACCTCTATTCCTCCTAACCGTTTCTGCCTCTGATATGTCTCTGACTAGATCTTCATGCCTAAGAAGGTGTCCTACCAACCTATCCCTTCATTTCTAACCTTATCTATCCACGATATCATTATCATTTGCTTCTAATACCACATTTCCAACGCTTCTAACCTTTTCTTTTCCGCAGCACCCGCCATCTATTTTCGCTTCAAACAAACACCTTTAAACAATCTTTTTCGAAATTCTAAATTAACCGTTCGCGAGCATAGAAGTGACTTCTTTTTATTGAAGGCAACTCGACCCTGCGCTATCCATTGCTTTCTATCCCTATATTAGGAATAATTTAAATAGCATGAATGACCTCTTTTACGGTTTGACCTTAGTCAATTATCCTAACTATTATAAAGGCGAACGTGTTTGTCTGTTTATTACCATTTCACGCATAAATTACATAACGATCATTATGAAATTTTGTACACCCGTTATAGGTACAGAGAAGGACATGGGGTATCTTTTATGCAGAAAAAGAAATACTGTTCTCGAAGGACAGAAAAATTTCATTTCACCTCGATAAAGAAGAACAGTACGCAAAGTGTATGTTTAACCTAAAAAATTAGAATCCTAGTTAGGACTTAAGAACAAATTTACCAAATTATTGTATTTTCGATGATATTTGACACGTAGTTAGAAAAATCAACGCTAGCGAAGCTGCGTTTAAAAGTTTGTGGGCAGATAAATATGAGAGTTAAAGTAAGATAGAGTAAAGGTAATACCAATACTTGTAGAGAATTTTCGACAATCGTTGTCTAATGAAACCTTTTGATTTAAAGAGAAAAGTATTATATTGTTTATTTTTAGCCCAAATAGCTGGAAAAACTTTACCAATAAAGTTAGACGAGTACTTTTGAGCGAAAAAGTAATTTTTCATCATTTGTTTCAGGACAGTTGTACTGTGCGTTATATTGTTCATGACCCACTTCGACAGATCCGTCTCCTGCGTGAAGCTCCTGTGGGAATATGTGATAGGATACTTAGGATTATTAGTGGTGTCGTTAGCCACAGAGCTTTCTATAAGTATAGTTGCCACAAGAGGAAGTATTTTAGATACGGAACCACGGAAATCTATGCAATTTATTTTATATTTTAGACTTGGTAAGTATTTCTTAATTTTACATACATATATTCACGTCAATGCTTTAATATATTTTTTCTGATAAGCTTGATGGATACGTTAAAATGGTTTCCAATTATACATTTCATAATTTCCAGGGACCATACTCCATAAAATATATTAAATTTAATAAATAAATAATAGCGAAGTTATAGTAATGATTATTTATAGCTCTATTTTCTTATCAATGTAATGAACAATTTGATTAAACGATAGAAAATAGGCATATAATTCCTAGATATGCAAGTTTTTAACGAAAAGAAAAATACACATCAGTCATAGAATTTAAGTAGCAATGCAGAGAAATCAAGCACAGGCAAACTAGATGAGGACTAAGCACGCTCGAATTTGAAGGGGGGGGGGCTAGCGTGGGTATTTGACGGGCGCGTCAGCGTAAATTATCTGGTTTGGGATTACACTATTGTTTTACATTTGTCTTTCATTTTGTTGTGAAATTTTTGTTGGTGACTAGGCGTCATCCATGTCGTTCCCCTAGGCCGCCGAATTTTCTTGGGCTGGCGCTAGACACAGTCACTGCTACTTTTTAACCTATACATATATCGACAACGGGATTAATATCAGTAAAGAGAAGATAGCATTGGGGATGGGTATACACCAATAAAATATTAGCATGCTTGGATTTACGATATAGCAGTTGGCAAGGAGGTGTTAGAGATAGCCTTAACCAAATTGATGCGGTATTTACAAATATATATAAAGAGTATAAAAATAAAACAAAAATAGTGATAGGCAAGAGGGATTAAACTAGGAAAAGAGCTAATACGATAATCATCGCAAACGGTTCGTTTAGAAAAAAGGCCAGAAGCGATTTGGCTGTGGAGTTATAGATTGATGAAGAAAATGCGTGAATAGGAAAGGTTAGGAATGAGGAAGTATTAGAAAGAATAGGAGAACAAATGCCGCTATGGGAGTCACTATGTAAAAAGAGAGATAGACATTAATTTTGGACAGTGAAAGCTCGTGGTCTTGTTGGACCAGCGGCACACTGTGAGTGACCTATCAGAAAAAGTACAGAACTCCTATTTCCACAGAAGAATGTCATACCGTGTGGAATATACAGTTGGGACGATGAAAATTGGCAAAGTCCGCAATAAATTGTCTGTGAGAATGGACGTCTTTTCTTTCTTGTTCCCACTGTACTGTAGTCATTTGCTGCGTCTTGAATACACACATCTTAAGCTAGGAGAAGCTTCATGAATAGGGCAAACATAGTGAAAAGAGATAACATAATAATAGTAAGTGGTGCAGCAGTTGGAGGTTGTTTAAGTATATAAAACATCAGGATCGGCTTTATAATTGCCTGGTTTGAATTATATTTTTAAAAAGCGTCTTTACTTTCCTTAAATTGTTGAACTATCTTTAAAGACCGACGTTGATAACACATTCAAATTCTGCTTGCCTGCATGTCTTTCTGTTACACATCAATTGGTGTAACGTTATTCCTTTTTCTTTATCAGTATCCGCTGCAATTCCTTACTGGCATCTCTTTTCTATGTTTACTATATTCCCTACAACGTTTTTCGTTAGTACGCGTTCTGTCAACAACCACTCTAGTCTAGTTAGTAAGTTGAAAGAGGAAAGTAAATGCGACAGTTTTATTACGGATTATGCCAATTGTGAACGTTGGGACTATACACTCTGTGCATGTATTGTTATAATATGCTTTTCGTAATTTTAATGTAATTATACAACGAAATTGGCAGAAGAAGAGTGTCTGTCCTGTTTAGAAAACAGCGCCTGTGCCGCCACTGAACCATTTGGCCCATTTATTAAAATGTCAGATGATCTTCGTTAGAATACACAGCATTCTTTACGTGTCATCTTATGTTTCAAGAAAAAGACAGATACTTATTTTCATATGACAGTAAAACTGGGATCGTAATTGTTTGAGGGATTTTGAGAATTCATTATGTCGACGACCAAACTAAACCAAAGGATTGAGAAAGTAAAAGTGCTGCTCATGCCAGATTTCATTTTATCGTTATTGCTTCTGACAGACATTTCTGTGAAGCTAAGCTGCTGCTTTTAGGCTCTGTTTTTATGTATTCGGGAAATTGGACTTCTAAAGAATCGTAAAAGATACAGAGTGTAATAAAATTTTGTATACCTACGTTCATATTTTTTTTTAATGTTATTCTATCTCCTTGTAAGGAAATTGAAACGTGCCGTCTGCTTAATTTGACTGATATGATAATTCAGTGACGTAGCCAGAGTTTGCAAAAGGGGAAGCGTTAAGATCAAATTACGTAAAACAAAACAATTTTCCTTTTTTTTCCCAAATAAAAGAGCTTATTTTGATTGACTAAACGCACAAGCGAAATTACATTGGGTCAATTTAAATGAAATTTTAACTGTATATTTTGACTATTAAGGGTTAAACAAAAACAAAAATGTAAAAATCTGAAATGTAGACTAGTGAAGTGTTTTTCGAAAGATAACGAAATTTTAAGAATGACGCATTTATGAAATCCAAATCTCTCCTTTTACTATTTGACTTCTATCGCGGCATTTCTTCTCCTGTTCTTTCTAGCACTTCCTCATTCCTAACCTTTCCTATTCACGCATTTTCTTCATTAACTTATAACTCCACATCTAAATCGCTTCTAGCGTTTTTTCTAAATGAACCGTTTGCGATCATCATCGTATTAGCTCTTTTCCTAGTTTAATCCCCTTTACATATCACTATTTTTGTTTTATTTTTACACTATTTATACACATTTAACAATACCGCTTCCATTTTGTTTAAGGCTACCTTTAACAACTGCTTGTCGACTGCTATATCATCTGTAAATCCAAGTATGCTAAAATTTTATTGGTACATATCCATCCCGAATGCTATCCTCTCTTTATTGATATTAATCCCGTTTTCAATATATGTATAGATTAAAAAGTAGCAGTTTCAGTGTCCATCTAGCGCCGGCCCAAGAAAATTCGGCGCCTCAAGGGAAAGACATGGATGACGACTATTCACCAACAAAAATTTCACAACAAATTTTAAGACAAATGTAAAACAATAATGTAATTCCTAGTCAGATAATTTACGCTGACGCGCCCGTCAAACATCCTCGCTAGTCCCCTCCTTTCCAAATTTTTGAAATAAAAGCGGTAGTAAATGTTTATGAGGGCGAAGTTACAAGGAGTACCCATTATCTCAAATATGGTTGAGAAACGTGTCATCCGAAACATGTCAATATTATCAGAACAACCTACGTTTTTCTTCAATTTTTTATATCAGTTCTAGTTCTTCAGTTATAAGCGATAATGTACCTACTGCGGACAAAGCTGCGAGAAATAACGACAATTTAAATACTGTAATATTCATGGGTTTAACAAAATTAACATTTAAGACTGATAACGACAAAAACTATTTATTTACACTAATTATTAAAGAACTTAAAAACACTATTAAATTATTATTAAACTTAGGTTATGAATTATTCTATTTATTTACATTACTGTTGATATATCACTATTCACTGCGTTATTTATTTCACCGCTATCACTGTCAATTTATTTCTGGATTCACTTCTGCAACGGCCAATTTATTTTTTCTTCTCTCGGCGATCGTCTCTTCTTTTAAACACTTTTTTGTTTACTTTCTGGAACCTTCTGGAAACATCCGGATAGTTTATTTTTTACTTTGAACTGTTTAACTGCTCTCCCAGAACGCAGGTACGACACACACATTTACAAATACGGCGCACATGAAGAAAGGCGCCCTCGGCTAGTCGGCGAATCGATAAGCCGTTCACGCACACAAACACACTCGTGCTCGCTACAATACAATAATAAGTTGACTTCCTAGACATAGGAAGAAACTGGTATGGTCATTTTGAATAGGAAGAATTGTAAAAAAGCCGACATATAATATAACGTGCTGTATTCGTAATGAGTTGTATTCATTCCCTTTAAAAAAATTGAATGAATGTTGTAGGCTTATTGCCTTGTTTGTCTGCCTGTATTTACGTTATACATATGTATAATTGGTACAATCAATTTTGAAACATATTAAATGTTTGTAAGACAATTATTTCTCGTACTTCAAGTGACAGAGGGCGTGTCTGAATTTCCTAGACCTCCCTCTCTAAGCACGCCACTGTTCCAGTTGATGTAAAAACAGCACCCCTTTAAAACAAAACTGGATCTTATATTTTACCTCATATTGTCTGATTATCTGAACTATCAATTGCGTACCTGTACAATAAGACAAAATAAAACAGAAAATTAATTACAATCGAATGAGCTTCTTCCTTTTTACGAAGGAATAGTCTAAGTCTAGAAGATATAATAAAACTTTTGCAGTAATAAAATATTTTCTCGGTTATTAAATGTTTCATTTTATATTGTATTTTTATAGTAAGTACTTAAGCGTTTCCGCCTATAAAAGATTCTGATAAAGGATAATCCATATTTCCAATCTATTAACTTAAAACTTATGTTACTGCGTTCTGAGAATCTCTGAACCATCTTTAGCTGTAATAGAAAAAGCATAAATAAAGGAAATCTCCAGGAAGTTTGCTGCCTTGTTGGATTTCTCTTATGTATTTTGTAACCATAAATCTTTGTGATATAAAAGCTTCCATTTTCGAAAGGTGTTTTGTTGGAGTCGTTCCAAATCCACTTTCCGCGTTAGCTCAAGCGTATTATATTGATAAAAATCTTTCATTTTCTAGTGATATTACTGTGCGAAGCAGCGTGGCTGATAGTCGGTGTGCTGTGGCTTGTCAATTTCTATTCCAGTTGCCAAATAGAAAAGGCGAAAGAAACTGTTTTAGGTAAGTCCGAAAGAGGAAGCAGAAACATTATCAAACTTGTTTACCTCCTCTGTTTGACGACTATGAGTATGTCTACAGAAGGGTGACTCAGTTTTTGACACAGGAAGGAAATGTTTTGGAAATAAGGAAGTCAGTACTTTTGTTCACAATGTCGAGAAAAAGACACTATGATAATGAAACAAATGAAAAAGGAATGGCACATCACATTTATCGATAAATAACGGAAACACGATAGTTTCAAGAAGAAGCTAGAAAAAAACTATTACAGAAGCAATTATAATTATAAATAGTAATCGATGTATTTAAGAACGTGTAAGTTTTTGGTAAAAAATTTATTGAGTCTGTCCAACGCGAATCGCTGTTTTAACTTTATTAGATCTCATCAGCACGTCATAGGCAATTTCAGTAAATCACTGACCGAACCATAGAAGCTTCTAAAGAGCGAGTTGATGTACCCAAATAGAGACAGTGTATCGCCATCTAGTGGGTATTTGCTGCTACTGAAATGTTTTAACTGTTAAACAGGGTCATGCTAAAAGTTTTTTCGACTTATCTACGTGATAGACACGCAAACCAATTAAAATCGAAACTTTCAATAACTTTATGACCAAGAACTTATAAGTTTTAACATATAACGTGTTTCATGATTAATATTTTACCACAGCAAACTTAACTGAGCGGAAGTATGTGTTTGCGATAAATCGATAAATTGGGATGTCTTCTTTTCTTAATTACTTTTGTTTTGTTGATGATATGGATAACTGCCTGTATTCGTTTTCGTTGAGGAGTGTATTATTAAACAAAAAGTATCTGCTCCAATTTTTAGGATTGCGTATCAAAATGGCGAAAACGAACCCTTACAGTTAGATTTTAGTGTAGGTACGTCCATCTATCGGTCGCACAAAGTCAACATTGCCAGTAATACGTATTAAATCTGAGTTATCCACCCACTTTGTAATTTTTGATTTGCACACCTTCACCTAATTATTGTGAATTTGCAGGTTTGATCGTTTGCAATTGGTGTATTCTCTTATCGATCCTCATTACCGTCTGGTGCACTTACGATTCAGCTGGTAGATCCTGGGTGAAAATGAAAAATTACCAGATGTCAATGAGACAATCGGAGTCCAAGTATCAGTACAAAAGGTCCGGTAGCACGAGGAATTGGAGACAAAGGTTTTTAAGAAAATTAACGATAGGAGATAAGGCAAATGTATTTAAGAATTTTCGTTTTCAGAAAAGTCCTCAGAGCTTACCAAGATAGCTGGGACCATAGATGCCGATTTATTTTTTGCTGTATGCGCCCGTCTGATAGGAATCGGAATTCTTTTGCCGATATCGCAAGACTTTTGTCTGATTTTTTCAGGGACCTTGATGTTGTGCCATCCGATGTCGTTGCGGGCCTAGTTTTATTAAGGAAGTTTCAAAAAATTGAACGAAAAGCAATCGTTGAACAGGTACCATATCATCAAACGACAATATTAGTCAATTCATATAATAACAAATTATTTTTCGTGTTTTCAAGCGGAAAAACGATACATATGAATTCCTTTCTGGAGTACCAATAACTCCCAGGACCCATTTCTTATCCCTCCATGAAGGCGGAGACTTGGAGCTCTTTCAAGCCGTAATTCACTACTCTCACTATGCCTTGAAAGCGTACGGTTGGCCAATGTATCTTATGACTGAAAACTTTGGCATTTGTAAACTCTGCGGCAGCCTGAGTTGTTGCTGTGTACCGTGTAGAAAAGACAACCAAGCCGAAATAATTGACGACAATTGCTGCAACTGCCACTTTGCTTCTTTGAAGAAATTATCAAAAATTGGTGATATCGAAATAATATATGCCACGTATCACGTCGACGTTGGAGAAACACCATTTTTCGTTGCTTTGGATTACGATAGGAAAAAGGTTGTGATCAGTATACGAGGAACTTTAAGCATGAAGGTAAAACTTTGACTGTAAAAGTTGAGTTTTGCAGTATTATTTTCAACTATCTTGTTGATGGTGCATATACCATCACCCAAGTTAAGCCTTGGTATATAGCATTTATCCTTGGTGTAGGCTTAGAATTATAATCCCTGCTGAATAGAACTAGAAATATGTTAATAATCAAAGATGCTAAATGCCTTGGATGCTCTGCGCCTTCTGCGGGTAATCTACCTCTAAGACCCTTTTCATCTGTTGCTCTCTGATCATACGTGTTCATCTGCATCTGCGACTCTAACCGAGCGGCATGGCCTAGAGGTTTAGACCATTGCTTAGCATTCCGGAGGACTCCGGTTCGATTCCGGGTCCATCTGCCTTGGTCCAAGTTTTCCTGTAGCTTCCTTGGATCACTTAGGCCAATGCTGGGGCAGTAATATTCCACAGATAATCTTTCATTCTCTTCTGTCTTCATTTCGTTCGTCTCATCTTTCTCAACCGAACCACCACCCATTCCCACGATTCCTGAAAGCAGGCTGAAGACGGCCTTCCGCCCTACCTTCCGACGTACTTCGGAGGGACTGCCCGCCCACCAGCGGGTGAGAATGAAACACCCAAAAGTTTAGTTTTTTCTGCGGCTCTCGATATCTCGTTCGTTACACACTTCAGCCGTAGCGCGTTTGTCATCATTAGGTCGTGCTCCACTACTAACTCCATGGCAGACTCCATTACTTAGCTGCTACTGCCATCCTATTTTGAATTTCCTGCTTTCTCGGTTGTAGTTCGCGTTCTGTTGTTGCCATAGTTTGTCCTGCCGACAACAGACTTCTCTACTATCACTGTCGTTGTGTCATAACTTTCTTTTATTTGAAAAAAAAGCAGACGGAGTCGGATTCAAATCAAGGCAAAACAGCCGACAGTCATGAAGTCAGAGCGGGCTCGGAGGAGGTAAAATTAAACAAGGACGAAAATTAACCTTCAAAAGAAGGTACATGCGGTTTTGAGACCGAACAAGGTTGTCTATCTACTTGCAACTTAGTTAATTACATTTTTTAGTTAGAAATTCATCAGCTAATTCCAGGAAGTCCTATCACCAGAGAAGATAGCCGCACAAATATTCGTTACAAAATATGTTTACCCTAAAACTATAGATATTGGCACATTATTAAATTGTAACTTTGTAGGATATTCTAACGGACTTAAATGCCGAAGCTGAGACAATACCTCTTACCCCTCCTCAAGAGGATTGGTTGGGCCATAAGGGCATGGTACAAGCTGCACAATACATTTTAGAAAAACTCCGTTCGGAAAGACTTCTTGAAAGGGCCTTCGACTTCAAACCAGAGAGAGGGACCAGAGATTTTAAAGTGGTTGTAGTGGGACATTCCTTAGGGGCTGGAACAGCTTCCATTTTGGGGATTCTGCTAAGGCAAGAATTCCCAGATTTAAAATGTTACTGTTATTCACCCCCTGGAGGACTCCTGAGGTAAGTTTTACGCCAATATTTTTGAGAACTGCTTATTTCGTCGTCAACTTATTCCGATATCCTTTATAGTGCTTCTGCAGTAGAATATACAAAATCATTCACGATTTCAATAGTGGTTGGGAAAGATGTAGTTCCTAGAATAGGTTTAAACCAAATGGAAGCACTAAGGGCTGACCTTATTAATGCCATAAAAAGAAGCATAGATTCTAAGGTAAGTACTACCAACCACTATTTCACCAGATTGATTTTCAATATACAGGTTAAAGTGATAGGAAAATTAGTTTCTGTTTTCATATTTTCAATTTCAATTTCAATGTGTAGGTACAAGGTGTACAATGTGTTATCAGTAATTAGACATTAAGTTGTCGTGTACATTTAATAAATAGTTGAATTACGTGTGAAAGGTTATCATTGATATTCTATTAGGAATTGGAAAACTCATAGCATATGTCACATAGATTCAATGCGGTTAATAGCAACTAAGTCTAAATGAGGCATGCCATGACAGGCTTTCGTAATTCTACTAAAAGATAACCTAGAAATAAACTCTAATCATTACCTATTTGTATTTTCCTTTTAAGGTTCCTTAAAAATCGAATACCTGTAACTGAAACTATCCGAAACTATCATATCCATAACATCTCTGATTTAAAGCAGTCTAGAGTTTAACATTATGTCCTCACAGATTTCAAATTTTAGGTACATGTTAACGTTCAAAAGTTTTATTATTTCCTCTAACCAATCTGTTTAAAGATTTTGCTCAAACATCACAAAGTATTTTCATTTATTTACTCCTTCCGTGCCCTATAAAATACACTTAAGTAAAGATAACAGTATACTGAAAATCTTTTTGACATTTGCTTTTATTGACTCGTTACTCAGATATTTGCTGAAGACATTTATCGGACGACAGATTTATTGGTCAATAAAGAACATTTATACAGGACCAATTACTTATTTTAATGGGTTCCTGTCACGTCGCATAGTCCTGTTTTAGATGCCGATCCTCCAAACGAGGTCAAATTTACTCCATGACATCAGACGCTATTAATAGCGTTAAGTAGTACTAGCAGTCGTAGTAAGAGAATCCTACTAAATAAAAATATCTGTATCCCTAACCCTCACAAATAAACGATATGTTATTGGCCTGGATCATTAATTTTATAAAAGAACAAAACTTTTACCCATTTTGTCGCTAGTCTTCCTTTTCGCTGTCCAGAGAAAAATTATTAAAGACATCCGTCAAGGTGGCACAACACATGGCGTATTTCGGAGCGAATTTCGGAATAGACATAACGTAGCAGACTACTGCAAGGGAGATAATACGTGACTTATATCCATGTTGTTGCTAGTCTATCCTCATATCTCGGAATAGAAATGGTGTAGTAGGGCAAGGGGCGTAATTTGTCGCTGAAAGATCTCACTTTTACCCATTTTGTCGCTAGTCTATCCTCTAGTTGCCAAGAAAGAAATAAGTGGAGAACCATCCCGAAACGAATCTCAGAATAGAAAAGGAAGTAATTTGTCTCTGAAAGAACTTCTTTTTTAACCCATGTTGTCGCTAGTCTATCTTCTAACTGTCCAGCAAGAAATGACTGAAGGATCGTCAAGGTGGTACTACACATGGCGTATTTCGAAACGCATCTCGGAATGAAAATAGCCCAGTAGACTACTTCATGGAATACTATTTGTCACTGAAGGATGGATATCCATTTTGTAGCTAGTCTGTCTTTCAGCTGACCAGTGAAAAATTACTGGAGAGTGGTCACAGTGGCACTATACATATCGCGGAACGAATCTCGGAATAGAAATAGCATAATAGACTACTACAAAGGATGTAATTTGTCTCTGAAAGAACTTCTTTTTTTACCCATGTTGTCGCTAGTCTATCTTCTAACTGTCCAGCAAGAAATGACTGAAGGATCGTCAAGGTGGTACTACACATAGCGTATTTCGGAGCGAATCTCGGAATAGAAATAACGTAGCAGACTACTGCAAGGGAGATAATACATGACTTATATCCACGTTGTTGCTAGTCTATCCTTTCATATCTCGGAATAGAAATGGCGTAGTAGACTACTACAAGGGGCGTAATTTGTCGCTGAAAGATCTCACTTTTACCCATTTTGTCGCTAGTCTATTCTCTAGCTGCTTAGAAAGAAATGAGTGGGGAAGCATCCCGAAACGAATCTCGCAATAGAAATGGCATAGTAGACTACTGCAAGGGCTGGAATTTGTCTCTGAAACAACTCTCTTTTACACATTTTGACCTTGGTCTATCCTCTAGGTGCCTAGCAAGAAGTAACTGGACAGCCGTTAAGGCGACACTACACATGACGTATCTAGAATAGAAATGGCGTAGTAGACTACTGCGGGCGATGTAATTTTTCACTGAAGGGGGGCCCTTTTACCCATTTTATCGCTAGTCTATCTTTCAGTTGTCTAGCGGAAAATTACTAGAAAGCCTTCAATATGGCACTACACTAAATATGGCTATCTCGGAATCGAAACGATAGGAGAACCGTCAAACTGACCTTACACGTAGCGTATCCCGAAATAGAAACATACTGTAAGGAGCATAATTTGCTGGTAATTTGTCAGTATTTTGGTATTATATTTCTCTCACTATGTGTTCAGTGCCACCCTGCCAACTCCTCACTTGTTCTTCGCTGGACAGCTCGAGGATGAGGAAAAATATCATTTTGCAGCGACTAATTAGTGACAAATTATAGCCCTTACATTTCTCTATGCTAAGATAAGCTTTGTGTTATTGCCATCTTAATATCAGGCTACACTTTCGTCTACATCCGCATGAAATACAACTTTGTCGTGTTAGCTCGGCATACGTTTGAAAACTGTTTATTCTTCTTAAACTTTACAGGTTTCAATCAAATGTCGGGAATATTTGGAATATTTGTTATAAAATTTTCTTACCCTCGGAACAAAAAAGTTTTTCAATAGACGAAATTCCGCTGGATCCTTTTCCGTAAGAATACATCGGCAAAGAAAAATGCTAAGATTATAAAGGTTTTATGGAAATTAAGTTGAAGTTGAACGATATTACAATCTAAAATGTCTCTTGGAATAAAAAAAATAAACTTACTGTCGAGCAGTCAAGAATGATTGCGGTTTTTCCAATAAAGCTTCCGATCGACTGCATATCTCTGTTTCAAATGTGTTGCTTGGGAAGTTTTTGCCAGATAATAATGCTCAGATTGAGATAGGCAACTGAAGTGGAAAGAAATGGACTCGTTAAGTGACAATAAAAGAAAATTATTACTACGATATAACATGATTTTGTGATCATCTGAACCATAGTTATCGATTAAAACGGTTGCAAAATGAAAATGTGGGAGAAAAAAGCTTTTCTTGATAATTCCAGATTCTTCTCTATTTTTTTATTAATACAAGCAGTCTCTTTTGAGAAGGAAATAAATTAAACTTTAAGGTAATATCTTCAGAATGTAGGATGAATTGCACAGCCCACTAGGAATAATGGGTAGATACAAATAGTGAATGTGAATTTTTTTAATTTATTAGCATTGTGACCTTGAAGACATCTGAGCGAAGATAGAAAGAATACACACTAGGCGTGAGCAAGACAGAAATAGTTGGAACAAGCTTGAACGAGCAGAGCTCTCGATGGGCGATCTTAGGAGATCGACTAGAACTGTACAGTACTAGACGAAAATGTTTAGCAATTTCTTAAAACAAAAATGTATATAAATTAACAATAGAAAACAAAGCAAAAGTTTTATAGGTGTGTAGAACGTTAAGTTAATTCAATTGTTATTATTTTTGGCTAAATGAGCTTCACAGATAAATATGATTGAATTTGGAATTATGCTACGGCGCATCCTAATAAACGAAAGGGGCATATCTCTAACTTCTTGAAACGAACAGTACTAAAATATAGACTTTGACAATATACTCAACTGAATTCCCTAAGAGCGGATGCGTGAGTGGGATCAAAAGGAGGAGAAGGGTTGAAGTATATAGATAAAATTATTTGAAAACGTCTTTTGAAAGTAGGGTTATTTATCTCAAAATATGGCAGTCGTACAATGAGCGGGTCATCAGTTAAAAATTACGTAACTCAAAATGACTTGTTTCGAGAACTGTAAAGTTATTTATAATTCATATTGTTTGGGGTTTATTGTATGTATGAATTACGTAGGCACAATAAAGCGTTAATGTATAATACATATTCTTATACATTGCTTTGATCATGTCCCGTCAATCTTTTGGTAACACCTTACTGGTGTAAAAATGTTCTCTGTATGAGAATAAGGACCCTGCCCGTTCTTGGCCAGGCGCCTTCACCAGTGTATGTGGCGTAGCAATATCGACAGTTCGCCTTTACAATTAGCAAAACGTTTTATCAAGTTTACAAAGAATTCAATTTTGACTAGTATTAAAACTAGACACGCCAATTTTTTTCAATATAAGAATACTCTCCACGGAAAAAACTATGTCAGTATTTAGATATTAAAACTAACTTACGGACAACTTGTGCCATGACTGATGACGCATGGTTTGGGTATGTAAATGATAAAGCAGTTGATTGTTTCAACGAACTATTCAATATAATATTAAACAATTGTTTTACATTTAAGTTGAGTATTTAATTAAATAGTCTTTTGAAAAGATCTACAGTTTTATTGTTTGAACATTAAGATATACTCTACACTAAAGGAAAACTATTTCAAACAATTATTTTTATTCGACGAAACAAAATTACGAATCATTTTCGACAGACTTCTTAAAAGACTTGAATTATTCTACCCATAAATTCCAATTTAACTTTTTTCAACAAATTCCAATTAAAAAACAAAATACAAAAAAGCCTAATAAATATCTAATTCAATCTTGAATTATGTAAACCTTTAACTTCCAACTAATTTTAACACTGAAATTGAGATTCTATGTCAAAATTTTCGGTAGAATTTTTTTCTGGATTGTTAATTTTCTGTACATAGAGTTTTAAAATGTGAAGTATGATTGTTATCGAATGAAAAATTAGAAGCATGGAAGGAGCAGTACAGATATAAAACAAAGGATAACGCAAGGACATGTCGCCTTTAACAAAAAGAAGTTACTGTTATTCTCAAATTCAGAAATTTGAAAAAGATTGCCAAAAGTGCATGTCTAGAGCATGACACTATACGGGTGCGAAACGTAAACGGTGGAAAAAGTTAGAACCGTTCGAAATGTAGAGTTACAGGCGAATGATGAGGATACCATGGATATAGAAGGTTAGAAATGATGAGGTATTAGAAAGAGAACACAGGGTGCTGTGAAAGTCAATAAGAAATAGGCGGTATAGATTGGTAGGATTGTCAGAGACATATTCAAAGCAGAGATTGGATTTAAGACTAGGTAAACTAGTTAAGGATGTGGGATGTTCTAGTTTTAGAGAAATACGAAGATTAGCTCGGGATAGGAAAGAGCAGAGGTGCGTGTCCAACCAGTCTTAGGACTGACGACCTTATGATGATGGCAATTTTTATCTACACAGTGAGATTATCTGTATCTAAGTAAATCGCTATAAATACCTTTTCCGGAAAAAAATTGAAAGTCTTAGCAAAACAAGAATGTATAAAGATTGTGACGTTATTGCACCAAACCTGCAAATTCATAGGATGCTATCTACTGACCAAAATGAAGTTGCCTGTAATTAGTATTATTGCCTATTCATTGTTTCTATTCAAGGCTTTTTCGTCAACACCATGAGATTTGAGTACACCTATCTGTTTAATTAATAATTTCGGAACACCTTTCATATTCATTCCCACTTCAGTCTCCATTATAAATATAAATTGTTTATGTATCATATTTTTGTTCATGTATTTATTTGAGTTGCTCTCCAGCAATTTTGTAAATTTATTTTATTTTTTTGTACATACTAATTTAAGTTGAACAGGAAATAATTTTGGCAAAAAGCTATTACATATGTCACAGCCCGCAAATTAACGGCTGCTTTGATCCACAGGTTGAAATCGGATGCTATTAGATAAAAGGTAATGCATACAAATGAGCAGAGATTTCCACAGATAGAGATTACTACTAAAATTGGCTGTAATACCTATCAAGGTTTTCACAGTCCATTTCTCTTTACAGTATAGTTTTAAAACTTTCTTGGTATGAATGTTGTATTTGTGATTTATGTATATCATTAATGATCAGATTTTACCAACAAAAATTTTGAATGGATCAAAAAGCGGTGTGCCTACATGCCTGCTAATAATAGAATTAATTGTGAAAGACAATCATCATGTTTTCTTAAAACATTTTACGAAAAGTCTAGTACCTAAACAAGAAAAAATTTATTAAGTGTGAGGAGAGTCCGGAAGGCATTCATCATACTCCTGATGATGTCTTAGCAAGGCGAAATGAAGAGTGCGGGGAATTTTTAGTGTTTCATTCCCAGCAGTCACTAATGCTGGTGGGCGGGCAGTCCCTCCGGATTATGCTGGAAGGTAGGGCGAAAGGCCTTTTTCAGCCTCCTTCCTGGAGTCGTGGGAATGGATGGGTGGTGGCTCGGGTGAGAAAGATGAGACGGACGAAATGAAGACTGAAGGGAATGAAAGATTATCTATGGGATATTACTGTCTTAGCATTTGCCTAAGTGTTCTAAGAAAACCACAGAAAAACTTAGACCAAGGCAGACGGACCCGGAATCGAACCGGAGTCCTCGCGAATGCTAAGTAATGGTCTAAATGGTGTTGGCAAATTTCGACATTTATATATGACAACTCGGTAACTATAAGTTCCAAAAAAAAATTAATGGCGGCGTCACCAACTCCTTTTTTGAGACAAAGAGTGGATTTTTAAAATGATCAACGGGGTTATACCATCACATAGATGACAGACGCCTACCTCAAACCAATTTAAAAAGTGCAAAGGGTAAACTACCAAACTATGGTTCCTATTTAAAAAAAATACAAGTTTATGTCATAACTTGGAAGGGGATGACTTTTTTTTATTTTTTCCGACTGTATCAGTGAATTTTATGTAAAAAAAGCTTGAAGAACGTAATTTTTTTTTCCTAATATTACAAACAACCGAGATATGGGCATGTAGCCAAAACTCGAAATTTTCAACTTCGCGTTTAGTATGAGCACTTCGTTTTAGGACGCATTTTGTCTTTACATAAGAAATATTGATTGGGTTATGTAAATTTTAATTTTTGAATTATACCTTATCAATTTTAAATTAAATAGCCATATGGATCGCGTTTACGTTTGGAGAATTGACGGAACAAACTACAAACCCGTCCGGTAATGGCTAAAGTGTGTCTAGAAACTAAAGGTTAGCACTTTCAACAACTCAAAATTAGGCTTTAGTGTATACAGCAAAACCTGGTTGTGGATCTATTGCATTTTCTTTTACTGTTACTTTACATGAACAAATTTCACAGTCACATAATTTTCGATAGTCAAAAACTTCTAATGCCTGTCATATAAAAGTTAGATGGTTATAACCCCAACAATATAGGGTTTTTGGTGATGAATTCGCGATTAGTTTAAACATTTATTTTTGGACTTTAGTACTTTTAACAACTTTTAATCTATACATCGAAGACCACATCAACATCATTAAAAACAGTACAACTGTAGGGATAGTTATAGAGGGGCAAAATATTAGTATGCTTAGGTTTGCAGATGATATAGCAGTATTAGTATCTAGCAAGGAGGAGTTAGAGATAAATAACATGAAAGCGGTATTGACAAAAAAGTATTGTATGAAAATAATTAAAAGCAAAACAAAAATACTGGTATGCAAGGGAAAGGAAGTAGGAAAAGAGCGAATGTAAAGATAGGAGACGAAAGATTAGAAGATGTGGCTGATTTTAGATATCAGAAGTCAGATAGGTCAGGACAGAAGGAATCATATGTTAGGGATATAAAGCAGAGGATAGCGTAGGGTTGAGCTGCCTTTCATAAAAAGAAGTCAATTTTATGCGATTAATTTCGAAATTCGAAAAAGATTGTTAAGGGTGCATGTTTGGAGCGCGGCACTGTACAGGTACGAAACATGGACGGTGGGCGCGTCGGAAAAGGAAGATTAGAAGATACCGTGGATAGAGAAGGTTAGAAATGAAGAGTTAATAGAAAGAATAAGAGAACAGAGGACTCTATGGAAGTCAATAAAAAATAGGCGATATAAGTTGGTAGAACACCTTCTCAGGCACGAAGGTCTAGTCAGAGACATATTAGAGGCAGAAACAGTAGTTAATGGGATTAGAGGTAGCGCTAGATTAAATTACTGTTCGCAAATAGTTAAGGATGTGGGATTTTCTAGTTTTATGGAAATGCGAAGATTAACTCAGGATAGGAAGGAGTGGAGGTGCGTGTCCAACCAGTCTTAGGACTGAAGACCTTATAATGATGATAATGATTTGTATTTATGATTTGTATGTTTAGCCTACTCGTTTTGGAGCATTTTTTTGGGATGCATTGTATTTACATACATAAGGCATATGTTATTTTGTTAAGCATATTTACTTTTTTGAATTATCGGTTACATAATCTGTTCCCATTTTTCAGTGGAAAATCATAACCTGTAGTGTAGTGTGCTGCTGTTGTGGAGCAGAGCCCACTTCTGCAACAGAACTTGCGAAAAAGGAGAGTGCGATAATGGAATACATGAACTCCAAGACTCAAGTGCGTTCGTTAGGAAACGTTAGACACCCTTCTGACAGTTCTATTGCATTAACATCTCACGAACCCCTATACCCTCCAGGAAGAATCATCCACGTAGTGCGTCATCATCCGAAAAAGGGAGAGTAAGTTTAATCTTTCGTTAATTTGTTCTAATAATTTAAAATTTATACTCACTAAACATACAAGCCTTCCACAATTGTATAATAACGTGGAACATGCCAAAATAAATTTTAACTAGTAAGAAGAATACCTAATAGTAAATTAAAGTTACCCGCAATCAGCAATTAAAAGTCAAGTACTATCATTTGTTTCTAATCCGACCTGCATCACATTTGAGTTGTCTTCATTGAAAAATTATCGTATATTAAACCTAAAATCCTCAAAGAGCGTTCCATATATCATGACATAAATCCACAGACTCTGTAGTTTGAACAGTTATCCCAACTGTAGGTCCTACTTCATCAACATAGGGATTATGTACAAAAGATTCACCTAGTCAATCATACGCTTCTGATTAACTGATTAATTGATTATATTATTACTTGTTATGTTACTAGGAATATTGGAAAAACAATAAAATTTCTATTGTTAAAATCGCGAAATTGATGTGGGTATGTAAACTAGAGCCTTTGTTTTTAAAATAATTATTGCTAATTTATAATTACATAAACTTTGGCCTGCTTTAAAATGACTCACGAGTGGTTTGGTTCATAAGCACAAAGTAGTCAGTGGTAGTGACAGACTCGTTGGACACGCAACTCGATTTCTCATCCTGAGTCAATCCCGAAAATTATTGACATCTCACATATCCAACTGTTCGCGAAGAGTAACTCTATTTACCCCCGTTTCTGCCCCTAACATGTTAAGTACAATAGCACCCTCTATTCTCCTACTTTTTCAAATATCTGCTCATTTCTAACGTTTTCTTTCTATCCTCAACATATGTCAAACTTTTCGTCGCGCCCATCGTTCACATTCCGTACTCGTACACAGTTTTACTCCAGACACATAATTTCCTTTTCTAATTTCCGAATTAAAGTCCAAAATTGGCGACTTTTTCAATTTTTATATTATATAAGCCTACTTTCATATCATTACAGTATCTTCGAGGCGTATATAAATTAGGGGTAAAAATATGTATCCTTGTCTAACTCCCTTCCTCATATTTACACCTAGAAGTTGCTACTGAAATTCATTTTGTCTTTATGCAAAAGCTATACTATCTATTCTTCCTGATTTCTGTTAATTATGTACAAGAGGTTTGAATTCAAAAATGTGATTAGAAATCTGAATTGTAATTATGCAAAAAATACCCATGAAATCGGGAATTAAAAGTGCAATAATCACTTATTGTTATGACCATTTATGTATAATGTGCACCGTATGAATAAATGAAGATGAAAGCATTGCTTCCGGTAGAAGAAGCCCGAAGAATCTCATGTCCCTTATATTTTATTTATTAATTATATAATTTAGTAATAGCCCATTTAAAATAATTAAAAGAAACGTACTGTAGTTAGTAGAAGAACAATAATAACATACATATTTACTATCCAATTAATTACTGATTCAAAATTTGATTTCTGCAGGCAAAAATACGAAAAAAGATGGAGGTAACTGATTTTTATTTGTAATGTACCTGTTGCCTGTCGATGTCCCCTGTCTTGACTGCATGATGGCCGATATGACTCAAAATCAGAGGGTTTATCTAAATATTAATCATTATATAATAATTCGTGTTAGTCTGACGTGTGAGCTAAATGATTTACAAATATCTTTCATTTCCTTTAAGTTTTAGATACACCCTTATGATTAAAAAGTTACAACTTAATTGAGGGTTGAGCACGAGATTTCAACGTCATTAGGGATATTGAAATTTTTACGGTAACAGGTTCGGGTCATAGGGGGAGAGGCGAATAGCGCACCACGTTCAAGTGGTTGATACAGAGTATGATAGTGCCCTTTTTTTGATTACGTTACCAAAATGTAGACCACGGTAAACTTAATTAAATTCCTAAATGGCGGACACATAAGATGGAGCAATGAGAGTGACGGACAGGGGTGAAGCAGAGAAAAATTATTGCAAAAAAAAACGCCATTCGCAATATGAAAAATTACGAACAAATCATGGAAGAATTTCGGCTGATGGGCGAGGTTGGCACTTCGCTCACCCTGTCTACGCATTATCATTGAAAATTTTAACCGCAGTTGCCAACGAAACGTTTAAACCTAGCAGTATATTTAGACCACGGTCCTTTAGTCCAAATCATAATTCTACCATAGATTCTGCTCATGAATGTCTACGTTCTTATAAGGGCAAATCAGCTTAAAGGATATTTCCAGTTATCAAATTCTTATTCTTTTTATTGCTGAGCTCAGAAATATGCATTTCCATTAAAAAATAACTTGATCCGCAAATGATTTTAAAGGACAAGGTCATGGCTACATTCAAGATCACATTCACTTCGGAAGCGTACAACCATGGTCTAAAATTTTTCCCAAAATAATGAAGATTAATCTAGATAATTCATGTATCATTTTTACAAAGATTTTTTGTCTATTTCATCCCTAGCCTCCACCCGTCTTCTTCCAACTGACGTGTTTGCCCTACGGGAATTCAATGTACACTGAGGTCTACATTTCTGTAAATTATTGAGCACTATCCGGAAGACGTAGTAAAGAAAATGGGCACGTTTACTTTCTGTATCTAGCCCCTGTTCCTGGTGAATTGTTCGCCTGCTTACAAACGTAGCCCCTCTGTGTTCTTATTACCGATAACGTTGAAATTTCGTGTTCTGCTCTTAGACTATGCAGATTCAAATTGAATATTAAACTACAGTTGATACTAGTAATAGATGTATCGTAGCTGTTATTAATATTTTAGTGTTTTTATATGTTAAAATATCTTTACAATATGAAGCATATTTGAATTGGTTTTGATGTAGTAGAAATTTTAAAGTCCTTTAAAAAACTGTGGCCATATGGATATTCATGTATTAAAAATATACGTATGTACTGAGATCACAACCTATGGATAGAAGTTTATAACTCATAAGCGACAAATGAGTCGTAAACGTCCAATTTATACGATATTAAAATACATCTAAATGAATCAAGCAACGCCATCTTACGTAACAATGCCGCTTTTACTGAAAAACAAGAGCAACCTTTTCACAATTTAGTAAAAATAAACAGCTACAGTTTAATTAGGATTCAAACTAGTTGTACCACCAAAACAGTAAATGAGCGAAGAATAATTAATTGTTCGAGTTTAATGATTGTGGGTTTTGAATGTATCTTTCTTGAAAAGAACTTCATTGTGATTCATTCTCACCGGTTTATGCTGCCGAATGGGCTGTCCCACTGGTGCATGTTGGATGGGGTAGAAGGTCCTCGTTAGGGATCATGAAAATTAATGGGAAATGGTCGTTTGCACGAGAAAGACAAGATATAGGATGAGAAGGCAGTCGAAAAGTGAAAGACTATGGAAATTACTTCTTGTTGTTTGTCTACACGATCCAAGAAAACTACAGACAAACTCAGCACGTGGTCCCTGAATCGGACCAATGTTCTTCTGAATGTTAAACTTTAACCTAACTTAACCTAGCCGACAGGTTACGCTGCTCGGTCGTTTTTCCAGACGTCTTCCCGGTTGGATTTAAGTACCTACCCAACTTCTTGCCCCCTGCTCTTGCAGGCAACAGCAAGACACGATTAGATACAGCATTCTCACTGTGGTAGCAAGTTTAGATGTAATAACGTTTTAATATCGAAAATGCCTATGATCGTTAAAAGAGGAAAGAGAGAGACCCAAGAATCGTTATATTAAGTCCAAGAAATCAATTATCCTGGATGAACAAATATTCGAAATATAAACAAAAAATATTAGTAGATATGAATGCAATAATGTTGCATGGTAATAATGAATAGTAGGATATGTGTAGTTGAATTAGATAATGCTGTATTCGTTACTGATATTTTCTGATCCAAATGAATGCTGATAGTTTTCGATTTTTTTGTAGGGTTACCTATGTCGGTACTCATGTCTCTAACTTATACCGACAATTTCGGCCATGTTGAATGTTCAGTTAATTTTTGACAACTGCTTTGCTTGCACGCGTTTTGGCCCATCTTCGATTTTTGCCTATTCCAAAAATGGATTAAGGAATCTGTATCAAATTTTGCATGAGAAACAAAATTAAGTGCGCGGACGCATTCCGAATGTTGACTGTGGCACATGGTGAAATCACCTTGGACCGAAGCAACGTTTATCGGTGGTACAAAATGTTCTCAGAGGGCCGAGAAGATGTGAACCACGAAGAGTGTGCCGGATGCCCGAGCACATCAACAACACACGAAAACATTGGATGAAGTGAAGAAAATAGTATTGGCAAATCGTCGAATCATCATTAGAGAAGTTTCTGAGGACTTAAATATATCGATTTTTACCAATGATTTGAGACGGATCGCCCCGAAATTAATATCAAAATCGCACGAGTCAGAACCGAAAAAAGCGTTCCAAGTTAGGTCGAATCTGAAGGTTTTGCTTACAGTTTTCTTCGATTGCAGTGGCGTGGTGCATTATGAGTTCTTGTCATAGGGCAGAACGGTCAATAATAAATATTACCTGCAAGTTATGTGCAATTTGTGCGAAGCAATTCGCCAGAGACGTCCGTATTTGTGGAAAAATAAAAATTGGCTTTTGCACCATGATAACCCCCCTGCTCACACATCGTTGCTTGTGTGCGAATTTTTTGGCCAAAAACAACACACTAATAATGGCGCAACCACCGTATTCCCCAAATATGGCTCCCTGTGACTTTTCTTCTTCCCGAAACTGAAGAGGCCCATGAAAGGACGACGCTACGCTACGATTAAGGAGATAAAGACGGCATCGAAGGAGGAGCTGAACAAGATCTCAAAAAATGTTTTTTGAAGTACTTCGAGGATTGGAAAAACACAAGTTGTCATAAGTGTGTAGTATCTGGTAGGGATTACTTTGAAGGAGACAAAATAGATATTTATGAATAAATAAATTAAAAAAAAAAACAGAAAATTCGCGATATTTTTGAACAGGCCTCGTACAACAATGTTGATCAGCAGATATCAGTAACGAATATAGCCACTGATTTCATGAACAATGTTAATGAGTTACATATATTAATTTGTCTTTTTATTCTTCTCATAGACAAGCGTTTTCTTCCAAAGAGCCAGTATACCAGGCTTTATGGGCTGAAAATACCGATTTCGATGAAGTATTAATTTCACCAGTCATTATCCAAGACCACATGCCAGACAAAGTGGTAGAAGCCCTGAGCAAGGTACAGAGCAGAGAAAATTCCAAAAATTATTTTTGATTTCATTTCCAAGTATTTACTTCATAATATATTCGTGCAGTAAAGTATTGTTTTGCATGATAAATTGTAGTTATTCAACTATTCGTTTTTTGTTTTGTTATCAATTTATTTTGCAAATGTTACCTACCTACAATCAAAAATTACTTTTGATATATTTAATAATAACTTTAACCTTTTTGAATAGGTAATTTTTAAAATATTCACCAGTCTATTATATTATTATAACAATTAAAAAGATAGTCCAGAACAATTTTCATTTGCAACACCATTTTTGAAAATATTTAACGATTATTTTTAAAAAGTTGTTGATCAGTTTTTAGCAATTGATGTCTTCAATGATTATTATTATAATTTTATTAGATTAGTTACCCACTTATGAACGTTTTGTTTCGTTTTCTTTTAAAATATTGCAAGTAACTGTGGTGTTAGTAAAAGTTGAATTACTTTGGGTATTATAAAGCCATATGCATTTTGTGTATTACGTTATATACTCCTATTATGTTCGGCTAATATACTAGTAGAGCAATGCAGTAGGCATCTACGCGCCAGTATGTTTTACAACTTGCTAGTCATTTACTTATCATTGTCGATATTTATTTTCTTTTATAATGCTCTTTTATATTCGTATTTTAAGTTGTTTTCATTTTAATAAATTTTGAGGTATTAATTTTTTTTTTTGTTTTGTTTTTTTTTTTTAATTTACTTTTTCCCAACCTAAAACAGCCCCTCCAACGACATGTAGTGCGAAATATTATTTTTAGGTGTAGGCATTTGTATATTTCGGTAATTGTCCAGAATTGGAGCCCCAGACTAAAATCGCTCCAAAAATTTTGTTCATCGATTTCCGATCATTGTACATAATAGAATTAGATATTAGAAGATGGGGGAGACAATTTTTTATGACGTCATAAATAAAATATAATCACTGAACCCTCAAAAATGATCATAAATCGATGAAAAAATTTTGGAGCACCAATTCTAGGAATTGTATGAAATTCCGATATTGTACTAGGAAATGTATAAAACTAATGATTTCTGTGAAGAAAATACTCTAACATATCAGTCCACCTCCGGCGGGCTGGGGCATTAAATGAACTCCAATCTGTCATAAATTTACCTAAGCAGACAATGACGTCACCAATGCAGGTAATTATCTAGAATTGGGGCAATTTTGAAAAATTATCATTTAAAAATTTTTGGAGGGATTTTGGTCTGGAGCCCCAATTCTGGACAATTACCTGCATTTCCATTAAAACTACGAGGGATGTTTTTTGTTAACCTCCGATAGGTCACAAATAAAAGTGAAGTGAATAATTATACATTTCTGGTTACTGTTGGATACCATCAACTTGATGATCAAGACCTTTGTTATACCTATAGATAAGCATTCCAATAAACTCTTCATAAAGTCTTGACATAGTTTTGAAACTTCTCATTATTTTGGAAACAGAAGAAACAAGGAAAAAATGGAAACGTCTCAGCGTTAGGTCGAAGAGCCATTCAAAACATAAAGAGATATGCTGACTTCTGGAATTGTTTTGATCCATCACTGATTAAAATTGCTCAGAGAATCATTGGTGTGAAACACTCACCAGCAAAAGAAATCGTATGAGGACGGGCGTTGTTATGGATCAGACCAATTCCAGAAGTTTTTCTGATTTGATTGGCTTTTTGTCCTTGCGCCGAGTGACTTTCATCTTTTCCTTGCATTTCCAGCTTCTAAACTAGCTAGGAGCTCCAAAGTTCCTTTAAACTAATTGGAATCAGGATTTTACGAAGATTGCATCAGAAAGCTTGCTCACTGGTTTGACAAATACCCTAATCGTCAGACAGATCATCTCCAAAAGTAACCATAAGTGTGCGTAGGCGTTTAGATCGCGATTGAAATTGTTTTTAAAACTGTCTAGGCGGTATTGAAAATATGTATTTATTCAACTTGGCCGCAATATACAACATTATGTACCTATTACTATAAGTATGGATGACCATACATGTGTTCAGAGCTATTAATTGTCATCTATTAAACTAACTATAATCATTTAATCAATGAATTATTTTTCATTGTTTAATTAACACTTATAAGAAAAACTACAAAATGCAGAAAAAGCAACGTTATTGTAATAATTATGTTTATATATCTGCAATTATTTGAACTTTTTACAGAATTGTCGATTAATTACTAATGAGGAATCGCAGTTAAGTAAAAACTAAGCACGAAAGAAAGAGCGATCTTTTATACTGATTAATGATATTCATTGATAGTAATTTGTTATACAAAATTATTATTTCTTTATTTAAAAATATCCCAGACTTCCCCCTTTGATGGGTTAATTTTGATGCAGCTCGAATACATACAAAACTTATTAATATACATAATGCACATATATGTAAATTTTGCTATGATAAATACAAATTGAGTTAATTAGCTATAGCAGTATAGTATTTTTGTTTGCACTGTAGGCAGTTGGGCCATCATAAAGGGCTTTGAGTGCGCATTGCAAAGTTTATTGGCATTTTTTCAGCATTTCGTTTTTTTGTCTATTATGCGTATAATATTTTAGTTGCACTATATTTCTTTTTTGCAATGTCCTGGTACATGGGGGTCATGTCTGACTCTTTTGGGTGATAGGTGGAGCTAAATCCAAGGAAGCAGCGTCCCCCACCAGACTCTCCTCTAGATCTCAGACCTCTCCATGATGTCAGGTATTACAGAAGGAACTTAAATTTTAGAACAGTTTTCTAAATAAATAAAGAGTAAAAATTAGTTAATTCGCTGTCCTTAAATTTGTGTTCTAAAATTTAGGTACTTAAAAAGTTTTTTATTTTTGCTTCTGTCGTTGTATTATTATGGTGTACTAGAAGTGAAACTATTATGCTTAAAAGTGAATTGCTGTTAAAGATATAGTGACCATTTAGCTAGAAAGTTTGTGACTTAAGATAACTCATAAGTAGATTGAAGGCATTTAAATAAATTACAAAAAAATACCCAGAAACGATATAAAGAGATTAAGTAAATAAACAAAACTTATGTAGAACAAGAATGAGTACTTCTAAAAGAATGTCTGTAGAGAAGAATAAATGTGAGAGAATATGAGAGAAAAACTGAGCAAACGAATCATAAACCACAAAACAATTATCAACAACTGAACAATTTCGTGTTGAGAATATTTTCCGACCTTCTAAGGAAAGGTAGCTGCATTACATTTTTCCAGGTTGTAACGCATCTTGGACCCCGTAAACCTCAGCGATCTTCATCGAACGTTACTAACAATAGTACAGATGATGGCATATTCGTAGAACCACATGGAAGTACATCCCCAAGACGAAAACTTTGCTTAGAAACAAGTTTTACTTCTCTTCAAAGTCCAAGTGTATGTCCTAGTAACGCTTCCTCGATTACCAATGGATTCTATCCTCCAACGTCTTCGCTGGAAGTGACCAGCATCGTATCAGTTCTTGAAAACAAAATTAAAAGTCCGTCGTCCAATATTACATTATGTTCTCCAAAAAACAACAGAAATTTGTCGCTTGACCTCAAACAGAAGCAAAGCGGAATATATCACTCTTCATTAGATTTAATTCATGACGATTGGTTAGGTCTTGCGCCTTTAGCAAGTCCCGAAAGTATGTCTGAAATATCTAGCATCAGTTCTAGAGCGAGTTTTATAACCAATGTTGACGTAAGAATTGAACTGCGAACTCCGAAAATGATGAGAAGAACTCCTAAGATCCACGGGAACTTGAGTACTTGCGCAGATGACGAAAAGAGCGTTAAGAAGTTCCAAAAGTACAGTTTAACTTCCAGATGGCTACAACCTACCGCCATTAGTAGTTCTTCGACTAATTCGAGTAGCAATTTAAGTTTCGAATCAGCGAGCAGTAAAAATGGAGAACATTTTGTTGATCAAAGTAAATGTTGCTGGAAGAGAGACACTGTACAAGCCAAAGAGGAACAAACAGTCAATGTACCCAGTGAAAGTGACGACTATCAGTCAGCTGAAGACATACTTGATACAGTTATTGCTACCGCCGGTTGTACAGATTTTTTCAGTACAAATAAACCAACTTTTTTGGAGACTCATCTTGATGAAATTTTCTTCAAGAGCGAAACTGATGTTGTTTCTGATGCCAACGAAAGTGTGCCAAAAAAATCAATAACAACAGCGACTTTAGATATTCCGACCTTTACAAGTTCCTTACCAAGTCCTGGATCATCAATGATGCGTTCTATAAGTAGCCAAAGGAGTTGCCAATCATCTCCCCAAGTCTTATCACCCGTTTCACCTCACGATGATCCTGACTTAATTTCCAATTTTGCAATAGATCTAACAGTAGACGAACAACACAAATCACCTCAACTTAGTCAATTATTAGAAGAGTCTCAAGCCTTTAAGCAAACAAGTGTCGACTCATCAGGTAGTACAGGTAGAGCTTCGATGGAAAACAAGAACGTCACGTTCAATCCTGAAGTTATTAACATTAATCAAGCCCTTATGTTAAGAGATTTGTCCGGGAAAGGCAGGGATAAAAAACGAAAAAAATCAGACAAATGGCATCTACTTCCGGGACGACACAAATCCTCCAAAAAGAAACCCCAAGCGGATGTCAAAGTCGAACAAACTCCAAAGGTTGCTGTGGGTACAAAGAAAGAAGGTTGTGAAGAAGAATATTTTTCCAGGACAGAAGGCCTGCCTCTGTTAAGTGGATTGAGTGCTGTTAGTATAGAAAAATCTCCTAGTTTTGTTAGACGGAAAAAATATGTTTATCCGACAGTTACATCGTATGAAGGTAGAGGAGAGAGTAGTGTGTAGTATCTACTGTACAAGTACCTGTTTAAATCATCAAATGAGAAGTAATAGAAAAGAACCCACGTATCAAGATGTCATCTTAATTGGTGCCTAGTATTAAGTTAAATACCAAAAGGTATCATTACTGAATTTTGATTCAGATTTGCAATGGCCAAATAATATTTATGATATATAAACGGTTAGGTTAGTGACAAAACTGAGCCAAAATATTGCATTAATATTTTTTGGTAGAGAACTTTAACACTTTCTAATTAAGTTCGATAATCAATATTAAAACGTGTTCACCTAAACAGTAATCTCGTTTCAAAATTGAATTATTAAATAGATATTAGCATTGTATATAATTAGCAGTAATTTTGGAAACATTTAGGTCAGTGTTGACTACTTTTTCATTTTCCAACGTTTAGACAGAAAAGTCGGTCATCTTCAGGATTCTGTGGTATTTTTTTAATTATTTTGTTATGAAACTACAACTGAAAATTTTTATTTTATTGATTTGATTGTTGCATTTAATTATAGATGTTAGAATTCATTTAAAAGAATGATTATGTAACAACCATTCCAGACATGCAATTCTTCTTTTACAAAAACATTATTTATAAGTTGTTACATGATCTTGAAGAAGACTGAACTCAATTGAGACATTGGCAAATAAATATTTAATTTGCACTGCAACTATTACTTGTGCTAAATTTTTGCCAAGATCGGTACTTATAATATTAAACGGTTGGAGTTATACCTTTTTTGAATAAATTATACAATAATGAGATTCTGTTTCCCATAGCAAAAGGTGTGCGTGAAAAAAATAAAAGAGTCATAAATTAGTAAAAAGGCACCGTGAGATCGATATCTGATAAGATTTGATAATTAATTAAACAATATTTTTAATTGTCATTAAAAACTCTCAAGTTAGGTACAATTTATTTTAAATTATTTTCAATAATTGAAAAGTACTTTTTCGATATCATGATCCGTCATATGCGATAATTATAAATTGGAATAAATGCTTTGTTGGAAATATGATCTGATGATTGGCATTAAAACTTCCTCTTGTAAATCTTGGTTCGTGGGTCAAAAGGTATCACTGTCTTTATTTGACTTACACTTAGTACCAAAATGAATGCCTAGTTAGGTAAACAATATAACCAGCGGAAATAATAAGATTTGTTGTACGTTTACACTATATAGGAGTTGTTCCTTCACCTACTTATTACATGATACATGATAAATTAGTTGTTTTCTGAGAATTCTTGTAAATATTTTTTTTAATAAAATCTATACAAAAATATCGTTGAATGCTTATTTTTACCACTAGAAATAATAATATGACAATGTCTAATTAATACTAATTAAATTAAAAGGGAAAAGGTCATTAACATATTAATACCTATATGGACGATCAAATTTCTTTATAAGAGCGAATTGGAACTATTGGTTCTTATTAAAATATCCTTTAACTTTTTTAATTATAACAGACAGAATAGATAGATACCTAGTACGCGTAGTTTTTGATAGAGTTCACCTTTTGTTGGGTCAACATAATCATTTATGTTACTCATTGTAACCCTCGAATAGTTATACCCTTTTAACAGCAAAAACTGTTTTGACTAGTTTATTATTTTACTTGCAAATAATAGCTTTTGATGTAAAGTGCCTTATAACATAAGCCTTTATGCATAACAAAGTTTAAATGTAAAATATAAAATTAATAAAGAAAATTCTTAATCATAAACAGTTAAATAGGCACATTAATCGTATAAAAAGTACCCACCACAATACGTATAATGAGCTAAATAAAATGCCGAAAAATCCATCAAAAGTTCTTGTGCTATTACCCAATTCAATTACCTACATGTTGCTTTGCTTGGTAAAATATATAAAGTAAATGCATATTCAAAAACTCACCCCACTAATCCTTTCAAAGTCAGGCATATTATAATTACACTATTTGTTC